GCTCGATTTGGTCCTCGTAGTCTGAGATTCGCCGGGAGGAAACTGCGAAAAGATAATCTCCAAGATTTTTCAGAGATTTTGGAAGTCTTGACGAAGGACTCTAATGTGGCGGGCGAGGCCAGCGGAAAATATCAGTTCCTTTTGGGCGAGCTCGAAAACTTGAGGAACAACAAAGTCAACTTCACGGCTCTGTCGCATTTTGAGGCAAATTTTGGTTGGTTGAAGTCGTCGAATATACTAAAAGGTCGGGGAACTCCGGAAGATTCCCTCTTGCAAGTTCCCGTGAACATGTTCGATCCGGAGCAGGTTGACAGGCTAAAGGACACTCCCTGGTGGCGAGGCGCCTCTGGGGGGATCAGAGTCACCGCCACCACCTCTAAAGCTGAGGACAGTGAACACGCTAGATTGTTGAAGTTGGCGGCTAAAATGAAGATGAACACGGATTTGCGAAAGTCTATTTTCATAGCACTCATGGGCGCGGAAGACTACAAACATGCGGTGTTCCGGTTGGGGCAGGTCATCGGTTCTCGACCGAAGTTGGTGCCTCAAGTTGCGGTGGTGTTGCTACACTGTGCCATTCATGAGAATTCCTTCAATCGATACTACTGTCGTGTCGGGAAGGCTCTCACGGAGCTGCCAGGGACGTGGGGATCGAGATATTCCCACGCTTTGAGGAACGCATTGACGAAACTGCTGCAACAGTGTCATACGTATCCTGTCAAGAGGGTCGGAATTCTGGCGAAGATCGCCGCGTTCATGATAGTGGAGGGCGTCGTGGATTTGACGATTTTGAGGTTCCTCGACTTCGCCTGTGCTGAGACGGGTGATGGTCGAGTGAAGTTGGATGTGCTGATTAGGGAGCTCATTATTGAGCTCATTGATCGGAAGGGAGACGAGGCGGCCAAGCTGTTCGAGTGTGTTGGAAAATACAGCGATTTGCGTGACGGGTTGGAAATGATGGTGAGTGTACATGCGGATACCTTTAGGTTGAGGTGTGGCGTTTATTCTCAGGTTAAATCGCTCGTACTCCCTAAACTGCCAACAGAGGAGCAGTCTCGAGGTAAGGCCATTATCGCTGTGTTGAAGGAGTGTAAGGTGGATGAAGACGATGGAGACGAGTTTGACTTCTAGTATAGTCCTACGTATACACTGAACGTTTCTACTATGGTGATGTGTGTTTCTTATGAGTTGAAACAGTTCATCGTAACGACAACAGATAATACGGGCAATGTTGACGTGAGTGCGAATACGGACTGAAAGGTCCTGTGTAGAGCAAAAGCACAAATAAAACGAACTCTTTGAGCGTAGGAGAAGAGGAATCAGCAAGGCAGTCATGATATTTAATAAACGATTAAGGGCTACTTACGGGGAGTAGGGTAAATTACTGAGATTTCAAGGGTCTTGGGTGATGATTTTGTGATCATCGGAAGACCGAAAAGGTAAAGATAGCAGTTTCAACTTGAAGCCTTCTACTAGCCTGAACTCCTTGGTGCAAGCCGACGGCACAGCTAAGCTGAATGTATGTGGACTCGGATAAAGTCGATCACGGGCCCACAGGATGAGAGGCTCCTCTCGAGCAAGAACTATACATCCTGACTTGAATTCTAAGCAACATTCTCTGACACAATGGAGTAGTTACAGCTTTTAGTTTCATATGAGTTCTGCTGACCACTGCTACCCAACAGGAGAAGTAGTCACAATATCCAGCCCATTATTCTTCACTAGGGACGTGTCATATCCCTCCTGGTTTTTACGATAGACGACGTGTAGCTCTCTCAGCCACTGAGTTAGATGACCTTCTATGATGGGAGGCTTTAGGCAACGGCCACTGTTACTTTTGGACGATAATGATGATGATAGTCTATCGTCATCATAACTCATAATGCCGATAGGCATAATGCTGTTATGATTAATAAGAGAGCATCATCGAGCTGATTTCTCACATCGCCCGAGAGAAGGAACACACATACTGAACGTTCCGGCGATTGCGTTGTTGATTTTACTAATCACTGATCTAGATGGTATGCTTGAGTGACTTGTACTTAGCCCAACCACTTCGAACACAGTCCCCTCACGATATGAACAACGGATAATACGGCAAGACC